GCTATTCAGCATATTAATCAGCTATTTAGCATAATAATCAGCTATTCAGCATAATAACAAGCTATTCAGCATATTAATAAGCTATTCAGCATAATAATAAGCTATTTAGCATACTAATAAGCTATTCAGCATAATAATAAGCTATTTAGCATACTAATAAGCTATTTAGCATACTAATAAGCTATTCAGCATAATAACAAGCTATTCAGCATATTAACAAGCTATTCAGCATATTAATCAGCTATTTAGCATAATAATCAGCTATTCAGCATAATAACAAGCTATTCAGCATATTAATAAGCTATTCAGCATAATAATAAGCTATTTAGCATACTAATAAGCTATTCAGCATAATAATAAGCTATTCAGCATAATAATAAGCTATTTAGCATAATAATAAGCTATTCAGCATACTAATAAGCTATTTAGCATAATAATAAGCTATTTAGCATACTAATAAGCTATTCAGCATAATAACAAGCTATTCAGCATACTAATCAGCTATTCAGCATAATAATAAGCTATTCAGCATACTAATAAGCTATTCAGCATAATAACAAGCTATTCAGCATATTAATCAGCTATTTAGCATAATAATAAGCTATTCAGCATACTAATCAGCTATTCAGCATAATAATAAGCTATTCAGCATAATAATAAGCTATTCAGCATAATAACAAGCTATTCAGCATATTAATCAGCTATTCAGCATAATAATAAGCTATTCAGCATACTCATCAGCTATTCAGCATATTAATAAGCTATTCAGTATAATAATAAGCTATTTAGCATACTAATAAGCTATTCAGCATACTAATAAGCTATTCGGCATAATAACAAGCTATTCAGCATATTAATCAGCTATTTAGCATAATAATAAGCTATTCAGCATACTAATCAGCTATTCAGCATAATAATAAGCTATTCAGCATACTAATCAGCTATTCAGCATAATAATAAGCTATTCAGCATACTAATAAGCTATTCAGCATACTAATAAGCTATTCAGCATAATAATAAGCTATTCAGCATATTAATAAGCTATTCAGCATAATAATAAGCTATTTAGCATACTAATAAGCTATTCAGCATACTAATAAGCTATTCAGCATAATAATAAGCTATTCAGCATACTAATAAGCTATTCAGCATAATAATAAGCTATTCAGCATAATAATAAGCTATTTAGCATACTAATAAGCTATTCAGCATACTAATAAGCTATTCAGCATAATAATAAGCTATTCAGCATACTAATAAGCTATTCAGCATAATAATAAGCTATTCAGCATAATAATAAGCTATTCAGCATATTAATCAGCTATTCAGCATAATAATCAGCCGTTCATTTCCATGAATGCTACATCTTAACGACAAACAGCTACATACTTGATACCAGAGAACAGTTTCATTAGTCCCAAAAAAAACGAATACATGAGGATTGGTTTATTTATTATGATATCATATCATATCATATCATATCATATCATATCATATCATATCATATCAGCTTTTTAAACAATATGTATGCCTGAGTATTTTTACAGGTTAAGATATGCTGACTTACAAAATGGTTACAAATATTATAAATTGATTTGTGTCAAAAACAGTTTGCTTTTCATTTAAATTTGGAGAACTAACAATGACAGAACGATTTATACTATTTTCATGTTAGAGTATATCGTGCCAGATATGTCAATCATTTCAAAAACAAAATTAGAAACATAATTTAACTGAACATGGACAGGTCTTGTACTTGGATCATGCATCTGTGTAAACTACTCGCATATGATTTGCAGGAATGTGAATAGAAGCATTCAGATTGTTGTAAATGCACAATCACCCTGGAAATTCAGAACACGCAATATAGGAAAACTCATTTTCATTAATTAATAAACATTTATCATAGCTAAATTTATGACACGTATTGAAACTCAATAAATACTAAAATACTGATAGAAAAAAATCACCTAAGTGAATTTTTGTACACGGGGGTTGTGATTGGTCGGAAATACGCCTTTCAAATATAAGGGAATGGTTGGGGTGATTTTTTTTATAATAGGGGAAGTGATTTTCAAATAAGTTGCTCTACTAATATTTTATATTTATCATAACAGTATTTCTTTTAATTTCCAAAACTAATAATAACACATTCCTTTCAAGAACTGTACGATTGTTTAGTCGACTATTTTAATTTAACACTATGCATGATTAAATCCAATGTGGTACACATTGTCAGAGACCACTTGTTGAGAACAGCAGTATGATGTATCTGACATGAAAAGCTGCAAGTCACTTGACTAACCTCAAGTATTAAGGTTATCAAACTTTTACCGCCCGTTTTTCTGTTAATACATAAGCGCAAATAATGTTGAGAAATGTTAGTTTGAATATTAAAATTTTGCGATTGTGTATCACTATTACGCTTACTGCTGAAATATCAGTTGCCAAAAATAGACCCTTTATATAACCAATTATTTACCAGGTATAGATGATATGATTATTTAATTACCAGAGAAGCGATGCAACTCATTCACTACTGTGTAACATCTTCCAACACCCCCTAAAACAGACAAAAGGCATGTTTAACTGAGAAAAGGCGACACAACAAAATGATCTACATACCCACGCCGTTGTTTAATTGACTGTATTCATTTACTTGATCGATAATTTTGACATCGTTTTAGATTCATTTTACTTTCTCGAGTGTAGTAATATTATTTTGTTTGCCATTCATATGTTTCAAGTTCACCAGATCAGGTGTGCATCGGCTGGTATCTAGTGTATAAAAATAGACAAGCGATGAAGGCTCCAGCGATCAGATTATTCGTACGGTTTTACGAATCAGTTAGCCTTGCGTTCTTGTTTGTAACCAGGCTTGTGATTGGTGCATGACAATTTCTAGATCGCAGCCGATACAACAACATCCCCACCCCGACCACCACCCAGCTATACTGGCGAGGTGTACAGTTTATCATTGGTTTGTTATAGTTCCTGGATCCCTGTGTCATAACACGTTGTTGTGATTTGCTTTCAGAATAGTTTGTTGAATGCACCAGAAAAATCTTTCACACAAGTGCAAGCAGATTGAATCATGGAACTCCATGATTTTACCGACAATCTACAATCGGCGACCACGCACAAACCTTTGTATGGGCCGTAGTGTACAATATCTAGGCATATAGCTTGCGGAGGCCTGATGTTGTCATACTCAAATTTTCATTATAATCGGCAAGTACACGGTATTCGTAAAAAGTGGCACAACGATTATATCAGCAATTTTATTTGGATCAGGTAGTCCCAGGACTGACTGACTTTTGAGTGAGTACAACGGATCACAATAGGTCGTGTCAACGCAGGAAGTCTCGGTTTGTAGATATTCATTTGTAGGGAATCACGTGGACTGGCAAAGTCGGGACTTCTTTTTTGTTTAAAAAAAAAATATAATCAATTTAGTGTCAGGGGATAAATCTCTTTTTCTCGGGTTCTCCACACTGTCGGGGGGAATCTCGTCTCGTCTCTCTATCTCGTCCCCTTGAGGTACGGGATCGGGAAAGTCACTTATACCTTACTGTCAAATAAGGCACACACAACGAAATACGTTTCAGCTCTCATCTTAGTCGGTCAATCGAGCACTCTATAAGACACGGCGCCCGGGGGAAAAGTCCCCAAGACTCTCGCAAGGCTGACCCAAGACTAGCCCAAGACTCGCCCCTGGACTCTCTCGGACTCTCGACTGCCCAGGACTGCGTCTGTCGTGGAGTATTCGCCAAGACCAACTCAAACTCTCTTTATTCATTTTCAAAACTCTGACCAATTACAATGCAGTAAAAAGACTCTAGGGCGTAACCTTCAATCATAAAGCCAATCACACTAAGTACTGAATACGTCATATCTTTTGATTAATCGTTCACTACATTAATAACTACGGATGTCAGAATAGCGACGGTATCTGGTAATTAGTTCCAAACCACTGAGCCAAGTTCCGTCCAAAACTTCAAATAGGCCTACACGATGACAGACATAACACAGCAATTCGCTAATAATCAGTTAATTAAGTCGGTCAACAGATACGCAAAAACAAATTCATGACATTAGCCTTCTTAACGTGATAGCGGTCAGGTTAGTTTTCGCGATCACGCTAAAAGGAATAAAAGAACAATTAATTATTTCTTTTTGTAAAACAAAAAAGAAGTCCCGACTTTGCCAGTCTAGGAATCACGCTGTGTTAGCATTCATAGTTTCTTTCTGACGACCCAGTTGTACAAATGATGGCTTCGCGTTAAGAAAGTTTTGTATAGAATTGAGAACAGTTCAGCGTAATACCAGTTACGGGACAACGACCATTTTCCTATCCCATCAACTGATCATCTGATTTGTTCGCATTCGCCCAGAATCTAAATGCAGACAGTATCTAGAAGTCACGTGATATATCGAGTATACATAGTGTATTTTGATAACAGACGTTTTGCAAGGATGTTTTGAAGGGGAAACCTTTCTCGGCACTTCTATTGAAACACGTGCATTATTGAATTAGACTTCGTAACCTCGGTCATTATTCCATCCCTACATTTTATTTTCTAATCGACCCCTCCCTCTCACATTGGCGCGTGGTATATCCGGGTGGCATCACTCTTAATGTAACATTATACATTGTACGAACGCTTTTAGACGTTTGTAAATTATATATGCCCAAACGATGTTTGGAAATAACTGACATAACACTAAGAGCATAATGATAACCAAATTTGCATAATAACTAACTTCATTATTTTGAAATATATATTAAATTAAAAAAAGGAAAGACAATGACGAAGGCAGGACATGGTTCATCATGAAATACATAAGGTTTATTTACAAAACGGTATAAACAGTGTTATTAAAATTGTAATGTCACAATTATTGTCACACAATTCAGGTATAAATGATAAGAGCATTTAATGCCAAGTGGTTATTCATATTTATATAAAAAGTCATCACATCAATACACATTATAATGCGAGTTCAGGTGTACTTCAATATAATGTACCTGTGTTTATTATGACGGGGAATAAGTTCCCACTAACCCCACACCACAAAAGTCAAACCTTGGAATAATTAAACCTCTTCATATTCCTCCTTTATAACTTTTAAAATCAACATTCTATCTCTCCCATTTGAATTTTGTAAAATATATGAAGCAATTATCGAGACCTCTAATATTAACATTTAATCGATTTTATATTCAATCGATATTTCCGGTGTACTATTTCTCCAGATTAAATGTGGTCAGAACTATAGTTCTCTTCATTTCTAAAGATTTGTTTATATTTCTCTTTTATTATTTGTATTATTTCTTATATGCACAGCACTTTCAACACACGGGGGTTCGTTCTGAGATTTCCTTCTTTTGTACATTTACACTTGCAGAAAGTTCCATTTTCCTTCTTTTACAATCAGTTTTAAAAAATACAATAAATATTATAACAGCGGCAGCAAGTAAACCTCCAGAAAACATGGTGGATACTGTGAATAAAACAAAGACAAAATAATTGGATCTCTTAATCAAACAGTATTCCGAACAGAACTGCAAGAAAGTTGAACAATGGAGTGATGGGAAGAAACATGTAAAATGTTGATACCTGTCATATCTTGTGGTAGTTCCTTATCTTGACTCGATGTTGCGTTTTGAACACATGTCTGTGTTTTTATTTTGTACTCCGGTAATGGTCGTTTAAGTGCTTGCATTATAAAAGTGTAAGCTATTCCTTGTATATGACTGAAAACAAGGAAATGACAAAAATACAATATTCGTGTAGACGCATATGGACATTGAAAAAGCACGCATGCATGTGACAGATAAATACACATAGTATCACGTTATATATATTTATATTATATATATATTGAATATGCCATCTGTACATGTATGATCATTATGCGGGATTTGTGAGGGTTTGTGAAAAACCAAATAAAGGTACAAGGTACCTTACTGTTTGTAATAATATACGATAGATATTAGTATATAAATCTCCTAATCCACGGCTTTTCAAACTTCGATCAAAAGCTAACTGAAGTTAAAATTAGTTTCTTTTTCTCTCAAGAGTGCTATGTCGGACATAAACTACAAAGTGAACAATATTTGCTGGCCTACCCCGAGACGATTATTAATCCTGCTGATGTTGCCTGGGCAATGGGATACGTTGTTTCTACAGCTAATTCTAGTGTCAGTGGAACTGATGCCAATATACCAAACCCAGACAGCGATGCTAGAACGATGAGTACTGGTTCAATATCAGGAATGACCAATATCTGTAAGTATCGGGAATTCATATCATACTTCTGAGATTATAGGATTGTTAATAGGAAAGCTGTTATTTGCAGACATATAAAAATACAAAGATTGGCCTGATGTGGATTAGACTTTGGAATGATTGAGTCTGGTATCCATCCTGTTCATTTTGAACAAAAAGCGACTTTTAGGATCATCATTGAAATGTACGTTTTTCTGGGCCATTTATCAAACCTTATTCACAAATCAACCCATATTTACGTCTGATCTTTCTGTTGCATATATTATATTCAATAGGTGGGTCATAGGACAATGATGGGTATGAAATATACATATATGTATCCGAGTCATCATCCAACTTGTTCCCGACACAGTTTTCTTACCATCTCAAAGACGATTATTGATGACACACCAATAACCATGGCAATTTTAGTAATTTCTTCGTATAATTTGGTTATATCAAGAATAAGACTGAATGTAATCATTCCAATTAATCCAACGCCGATGACTAAGGCTCCACATATACCTGAAAAAATCTAAAAAAAAAATATACAAATATTTGAATGCGACATTTGGAAATATTTTAATACGACATTTGCAAATCTAGGGCACACGAGCGGTCGAAAAATAGTTCTCTTGTGCAGTGCAAAAATAAGATCCACGTTTTTTTTATCTTCCACAAAAAATACCCGAATTTAAAAGGTTGTTATGACATAAAACATCATCGTCCGAATCGTCGTTTCGTGAGCTCGATGTAAACATACTCCTTTTTTTGTGGTGAAGTGATGGCCAAATTAACAAATCTTAGTGGGCGAAAATGATAAAACACGGGTACAATTGTCAAATCTCCACCATCAACCCCTGGCCTCAAACAGGCCAGAAATAGCTCTAAAAGTTGTGTCAATGTGTTCTGCTCCCTGTTATCCCCGAGACTGTCAGCAGTCCATGCGTTTAGGTGAATCATATGCCATTACAACATTACATTTGTTTCAATGCGGTTAATATGCAAAGTTTAGCCACGTCCGGAGATTCGCGTTTATGCAAAAATTAGCAAAAAACAAGGTTGACGCCGATAAGCAATTGAATCTACAACATCTGTGTACATTAGTTTAAACTTACCACAGGATATCCATTGGAGCAAAGTATCTGTTCCAACAACAAAATAATCGCATTGAATAAACCAATACCACACCCGATACACAGCAATAACAACCAATAAGCTTTAATTCGTAATATCTAAGAAAAGAAGATACACAAATAACCAGTGACTACTGAGTGTCATACAATACGTTCACAATGAAAACCCAACGCAGCCCAACAAATCGCTAACTATCTAGCTAATGGCATCTCTCATCATGATAAGAGTGTAAATAGTTTTCCTACGACAGTTTGTTGGCAATGTGAACTAACTAATTATATCTAATTGTCTGTTATTTTACATTTATCTTCTTGAATGATATTCGATGTTATTGACCTACACCGTGCTACACACCTTTTTCAGACCGGGCCAAAATGGTTCGTCTTGCTGCTGTGCCGCCGCTGATGGCGGTGTTGGTGGTACACTGCTACACATACCGAATGTTGCAAGGACTGTCCCGACAGCAGCAGGAATGCTATAAACAATTAGCTGAAAGTGCAAACTAATTACATTAATGTAAATTTTTTTGTTTGATAGTATGCGACTAAAAGTTGTATGGAATGTAGCGAAGTGGTTATTTCGAACCTCTCAATTTATAATCGATTCCCAACTATCGATTAGGGCGAAATGTAACATTCTCAAGTAATAATTGATAATTGGATAACTAACCATACATTGTACATACACAAACGTATCCTTGATATAGACATCACTTGGATTTTTTTATGTAACGAACATATTGAGTAAACTAAACTAAATATTTATATTTGACGCAATTTAATCACAATGGATTCGCAAAAGACAGTTTTATGGATGGATGAGAACATTGGATTGTTAATGCTGCTGTTTTACGCTGCATGTTGATTATGTTTTATCACGAACTAAACACGTTGTTTATGAAGCTCATATTCAAGTATTCTTCTCCTCAAACAATAAACTTAAGCTTTTGGTACATACAATAACAATCCCCGCACATGCACATGCTTTCATTCTTCATCCGACGAAAATAAAACATTATGCGTCAAAAGTAAAACGTTTACAAACATCGAAAAGCGAAATAAAAACTCACCAATAACTGCATACCATGTAGATGTTCAGCGTCTTTAAACAACCTGGGAGATATGAGGTTGGCAAACAAATATCCACCGGGAAACGACGCCACCATCGTTGCAAACGTTCTGTGGTTTTTAGGGAACCACTTATTAGAGACTTTAGACGGACAAGAGATGAATACGGGATATGCCATAGCTGCAACCACTTGACCAGCCATTGCCACGGGAAATGTATATGTGGAACTGACAAAATCCATAGTACTGAGTACTCTAATGATGCCACCGATAGTATTCACCCATGATGCTAGAATTAACTTGAAAGTAAAACAAAAATAGTTTAGCAATTTGTAATGAGCCAGACATTGATAGCCCAGTTAATTCGATCTCCATTGGAATATATAAGTAAAACATTCAAAGGAGAAAATTTAGGATCTCATACGTCCAACAATATTATCTCACATATAAACTGCGAAATAGATTGTGGAAAATCTGATATACGGGTAATCTCATCGATCACATAATGTTTCAGGACGCGAGAGTACGGAAGATCACGGTTCTTTCGAAGTTCTCTTTGTAGGCGAGATTTAACATCCACTACGTCGATAATGTTTACAGGTATTTTCCAAGTTATTTGATATTGCACGTTGAAAAATACTGAAAACGCAGCACAAAACAGAATGTTGCTCGATAAATAATTACAGCTCCCTGATATACTATAGCAATGTTTGTTCACTTTATTACGTAACGGCCAATTTCGCAATAATTATTGTATATTATTTACTATTTCAACTAGTTGAAAATACCGTTTTTTCAACACTTCCATTCAGGCACGTTTGTTATTTTGTATGATCGCGTCTCGTCTTATCTTTATTTGTGTTTTTTTTTTCAAGCTACGACGTTCTACTGATAATCCGTTGCCAAACACAGACAGGAGGGTCACAGAGTTGTTAACGTATCAAATTAAAGGTCATTCGCGAGATTATACAACTGCGTTTTCAATAGATAGAATAGTTAAAAAAAACACAATCGCACAAATGACCCCAGGTAATCTTCTAGATAAACATTAGTACGATATTTGCAGTACCGTATTCGCCTATAAGCTTTCAGAAAACGTATAGGTTGCTATAGTAGCATGCTTCGTCATTTTTTGAAGAAAGTCTGAATAACAGATCAATTTTTACAACGTTTTAACTCTGCTGCTTCCCCAACAAGGTAGTTATTCACAGCCTTACCGATAGTCTAATGCCGAAGGTATCCAGGAGCCACGTTGCCACAAACCCCATTGGAATCGATAGAATTAAATATATCAGTGAAAACAGATTAATACTCGACGGATTGACAGAATACACTTCAGCCGCTTCGGTTGCCACGGGACTGAAAGATAACCAAATCTGAAATACAACATAAATTAACGCATGATTAATATATACATGAAAAACTCAGATTATTGCATTTTTAAGACAACCAAATCATGATATTATGCTGCGAACGATTTTAGTTAGTGACAGTCACAATTAGTCAAAATACTGTAAGACTATATTTGTTGAATTGGTCTGATAACAAGTATTTATGTATGGAATGTCTCCATAAAATATCCTATACATATCGATATAATACCTTACTTAATACAGTATGTTGAAACTCAGGCATACGAATGGTGATTATGCATAAATACTAAAATATACTAGTCTAAGACGAGAATAACCTAAACCAAACCTATAATCAATTTTATCGTTTCAAACTTGTAAGTAAAACTACGTCAGTAATCGGTATTAAAGGAGAACATGACAGAACGCCAATAAGACTGAAGGCATCAACATTGGCAACTAAATATTAGGCTGAATGTCCTATCTGATAACCATATATTTAAATGTGCTCTCGATGAAGCAGTTAAGAGTAATTCTAGCTGGATAAAACATATAGAAAATATAATGGGCCACAATGACTTTGAAACAATAAAATTAAAACATAAAGTGAATAACATTGATCAAATCTCAAATGTTGTTAAAATAAAACTCACAAAAGATTATGAAAAAATATGGATAGAAAGCTCCTCACAGTAAAAATGGTAAAGATGGCAATAAAATGAGAACATGTAAATCGTTTAAATCGTTTTTGAAAATAGAAACTTACCTAACCGAAATAACAAACTTCAGCCTTCGGAGAATTGTGAGTAAATTTATGCTTAGTGATCATAATTTAGAAATTGAAAGAGGCAGACAGCAACGACCAAACATTCCCGCAGAAGAGCGATTTTGTAAACGAGGACGAAGAACATTTTATCTAAGACTGAATTTTTCAATAAAGAAAGAGGGGAACTGTTCCAAGAAATAGGAATTAAAAATAAACTAAATAAAACAGACAATTTCATTAAAATAATGACGTGCATTATACCCCTAGCAAGGTTTCTAAACAAAGCAAAACATACATCAAGTATATGAAAGCTATCACCTCTACATTGGGAGAATTCTGTAATTAACATTAATTTATTTCCTATTAAGGTTTTAACATCTCTTAATTTTAATTTTATCTTATCATAGTAAAAGCTGCTTTTTTATGATTTGTATTTTATTTACCATACTGCGCCTTCTGATGTCATATTAGTGTAATAAAGTTATTATTATTATTATTAATAAATCACTGTGAGGAAAAGTTGACATTTTGTTTTCGTTTATACACTAGGCTGTGTATAACAATAGGTACCAACCGTTCAACTGATTCTATATAGGACTGGTTCAATGAAATCAGGGGCCCAGAGCTCGTATTTGTGTTGCATATACATGTATCGTAGCTACCCATAATTCAAATGCCGGATGCTACTTTCTGCACCTCACCCCGTTAAATTCTATGTCACATAGTCGACGAGGTCAACGGCTCATGTGACTCAACAATCATAATAATAATCGGATGAATTCGGTACGTTTGACGTTTTTAAGAAACATACACATACAACAGTAATCTTACCATTTGTGCAGACGTAGCATGCAACGTAACCAACAATAGAACAAACCATCGTCGCTTGTACAATTTGAACTCTTCTACGTTGACAGCGTTAACTGCGGGAACCTGAACCGACGATAACTGACCATCACTGTGGTTGCGCTGTATCTCTCGGTACTGAAAGTCGGTCTTCTCGTCCTTGTAGAGCTGTTCCCGTTCAGATTCACTATCCAGGCTCATGTTGATATGGTGGTGAATCGTATCACGAATATCGTCGTCACGTTATAGTCATGTCGTACTGTCACCTGATTAAATTCCCATGAACTGTGAACTCCCATTGACCCGTGTCACTGCGGCTGCTCAACAAATTACATTCTGGTCGGTAAAACTTTAATTTGCATATTTGTTTACAGTCACTCAGAATTTTATTCCGTCGACGGTCGATCAAATAATAATTTTATTTTATTGACACAACACTATATATGGTTCATACAGCAGTATGGTCACGAAACAGAACTATAACTATCACTACTTTCAAAATAATATACATATTTGGCAAAAGGTATAATAGAATAAATGTCTAAAAACTTACAGCCGTTCCTGGGAATTATTCGGACAGTCAGTTAGCAAAATGACTTGCAACTTTGCAATAATTCTCAGAACGGCTGTAATCAATATATGAACTTACATTCTTCATTAAGTTTTTGAAACTAATATCATCTAAAACTAATTGTATGCACTACACTCCCATCTAAGATCTGTTGTGGTACTATATTCCACTGTCTATTAATCAACGAAATTGTCTTTATCGAAACAAAATCACACAATGGTTCAAATATTTTCTTTATATAACATTCCGTCTTACCAACCGCGAACATTCTCAAAGTATGAGGAGTCACGCGTGAATCACCACATGCTCATTAAATAATTCAAGAAATTTACATGTTCTCGCACTGCGTTCATTCACGCGTGACTTAGACCATGAGCTCTCCCTACCATCTACGATAATGGGGTCAAATGCTACTACCTACAATTTTCTTGAAACATGTTTTTTTCTAAAATACGAATGAAGGTCTACATGTGGTAAATTAAAAATGTTGCTAATTTACGCCCTGAGCAATGGTTAATAGTATGGTCTAAATTACTTCTATGGTTCTTTTGGGCACTTACGCAGCTTCTGCCATAGATTGATCATGGAGCTCCATGGGTTGATAGACTCACATATTGTGAAGATTGGGATAAATATATATCGGGTCACGTGACAAAATTGTACAAAATGAACATACATTTCTGGTAATTTCCCACTAGTATATATTTTTACTTTAGAGCTCTATTTTTGTCTGGCAATTCGCCGTTCCTAACTCATTTTTCTTTTAATATTCCGTGCTAGTTAGGAACTAAACGATGGTCCTTACCAGATAGTAGCTTATTAGGTAGACTTAAGGAGAATTACCACGTTCTTTTTCATTCATTGACAAATCGCCGACTAACTCAGTACGAAATATTTGTTTACTATAGAGAAAAAGGTGTTAATACTTCATGTGCAAAAGGTAATTCAATGACCATACCGTTTTATCGTAAGTAGGAGCACAAAATAAAATCATACGCGAGCGTTGGCTCGAGTCGCACACGCAGTACATGTATATAACTTTATTGACCACAACCTTCCATTTCTGGAGGTATGGGTAAAACAAAAAACATACAGAAAATTACACAGCAACAAAGTATTCTCTAAGATTGTACATTTGATAAAGGTATGAGCCAACCCAGTGAGCAGTAGAATTTATGGGTGCTGTTTAACATACTAAATGTAGGATAAAAGGATTTATCTCTTGTCGGGTTGAGTTCCCGGGTTGAGTTTGGTACACTCAGTGACTAAATGGTATTCAGATTCCACCGTATGGTTTGTACAACATTGACATGTACGAAAACATACAGGGGAGATAGACGGATTATGCCTAATTTTTCCAATGTTCAGGTTATGAACACTGATGCGTAGTTTAGTCAGAAATACCCTGTGGGACGGGTTTTCATTAGCATTAAGATATTCACTAGGCTCCGATCAAAAAGTAACTTGACGCGCATATGTTAGACATTATGTATTGTGTTCATGTAAAGTTTGAATGAAATCCGTCAATGGGTGTCCGAGATATAGCTCCGGACGTACGGACGGACGAACCCAAATTAATAGTCCCCGTTTTCGGACTTCGTCCGAACGGGGACTAAAAACAAATAGTATCGTGTAACAAATTGTTTTACTTTGTGTGTCAAACCCATATATGCAGGCACATTTGTTATATTCAAACGACATTTGAATACATATGTAAATACACATTTACATGGCCAGTAAACTAAATCATCCATCCATGTTATGTGTTTATCATATAAGTGCCAATATATGATATTTGAATACATGGCCAATAAGCTAAATCGTCCATTCATGTTATATGTGTATCATACAAGTGTCAATATATGATATTTGAATACATTTACATGACTAATAAGCTAAATCATCCATTCATGTTATATGTTTATCATACAAGTGTCATTATATGATATTTGAATACATTTACATGGCTAATAAGCTAAATCGTCCATTCATGTTATATGTTTATCATACAAGTGTCAATATATGATATTTGAATACATTTACATGGCTAATAAGCTAAATCGTCCATCCATGTTATGTGTTTATTATACAAGTGTCAATATATGATATCTGACGTTGTTATATAATATTTTCATGCCTAAATTAGATAACTGACCATCATGCGTAGGCATTTATTGTTTGTATATATTTGCATGGCCAATGAGCTAAATTTTCGTCTTTCATTTTTATGGGTTCATATGATCATACCAAAAATGAAGCAGCCTGTTGGCTGATGAAGTTCCACTGTATGATTAGACAGTTGAAAATGGAAAAAAAAAATGTTCACTAAAATTTGAAAATTAAACTTCTCATCATGAAAAGAACAAATCTGTCAGAGGTCCACGTATAAAAACTCAAAGTATTTTCAAGAAGCCCAAAATAGCATTTCTTACCAAAATTGACAAACAAAAATCCCCTATAATTGGAGATTGAAGGTGTAATAAAAAATGAGCAAATGAGCTAGCCCTTTTGAGTTGAAACTAACACTTTTTACCAAAAATATTCATCAAAATTAGACTCAATGGTTGATTTTCGAGATACAAGTGTCAGAAATGCCATGGACAATGGTAAAATTTGGTGTCTTTGTACTGGTTTCTATGTTGAGATTATGTATTCATATCTCAGAATATCGCACTGGGACATGGATATTGTGAAAACATTTTAAACAAGCCATGCAAGGCACAGTCCCCGTTAGTTATCGAATTTAAGATATATAGTTTTTTTTATAGTAATATAGCTGGAATATAAACATGTCAGGAATATGATTATGGTGATTATTTAACATTTAAATGATTGACATTTGTATCTGATCGTCAAATGAGTATTGAGAAATATTGCTCTGGAACAGCATTAATTAAAACAAAATCAGCCAATTTGAATACATGTATAATGAATATATAAAATTTGAACATAGTCAGTCAAAGCATGTCAGAGATATGGCTCTAGAAACCCATTCATTAAAACAAAATGGCCACTAGTCAGCCATTCTGAATCTGATCTAAAAAATAAAATAACGTGCACCAGGAATCCGTAATGTCTAATGTAAGTACCAAGTTTGAACAAAATCCATCCATAAATGCTTGATTTTTGATGATTTTTTAGCACAAAAATGGCCACCATTCAGCCATTTTTAATAGGATCGTCAAACCAATATATCTGTATATCTATGA